CACTTTGACACGCACATTTGATTCTGGCTGCTGTAGTTGATGCAGGACGGCTGCTTCCAAGATAAATGTGTCGCTGAGAAGACAACAGTGCCTGCAGTCATGGCTCAAAATACCATTGCAAGTTCTGCGTTGTACATGACCATTGTGCTTACTGTCTGATGTAACAACCAGGTCATAATGTTTCCACAATTAAGATCTTCCTGATTCATTTGGAATTTTAAAGAGTTCTCTTTTTATTTCATCCTTGGCAAACACTAAAACTGGTTTTGTTCTATGTGTACTCGACTATACTGTATAGAGAGAAATCATGTGTGAGTTTGCAAAATGTATGCAAATGTGCAAGCAAGCAGGAACATTATAGAAGTAGCCAAAGAACAAGGATCAAATTAGTCAGTGTTATTGAGAGTTAAAGACAATAAATGACTCACAACTGCGCAATCCAATGACAAGACTTTGCAAGGAGTTAAGCCAAATCGCATGGTATATGTGGTATATAAAAGTAAATGAGTCATGAACCACAGGTGTAGGTTATCAAGCATGGGCACAGGCAGGGTGGGTCTGGAGCTGGTGGCCCAATCCCAGAAAGACATGTCCACATGTAGTGTCCCCAGAAGGTGACAGGGGGCTGCTGTGACATGCACACTCAAATATGAGAGTTCAGGATTGACATTACTAAATATGTTAGCTTCTTTTCAGACATTCAGCTTATTTTATTAAAACAGAAAACATGAAAATGATGTATCTTAAGGTTACAGATGAAGCATTTACACACATTTTAATTAGCACATTTTTAATTCCACACTTTGCACGCAAATTTCCACCTGGGGGCACTCTGCATGCCATCACGGGTATGCATACCACAGTTTCTGAACCACTGGAATGGATTATTATCTGATTTTTTACAAGGCACCATGGCTTGTTACTAACAAGGGGCACCAGAATGAAAACATTCAGTATGGAATGTCAGGACTTTATAATGAGGCTCTCTCTAGATGGTGCTATCTTAATCCACTCTGTTAATCCACTCTGAGAGAGCAGTAGATTAGGGAAGATTAAGATTGGAATGGGCCAAATAAATGCAGCACAATGCTCTATCTGCACCGCCTTCACTCTGGAGCACTTCACTGTTAAGATCGGAGTGTCCCATAAGCATTATTACTCAAGCTTAGCTCTATCATCCTCCTTGTCCTTTGTGAAATATATGCTCTCTTTCATTTATGCTCTCCCGCACAAACACAGTCTCTCTCTATCTTGGTCTCTCTCTCTGTCTGTTTCTAAAACCTCATCCCTTCTTTGGCATAAAAGCTAATATTTTATCAGATCTCATTCTCCATCCGCCAACAGATTAAGGACGTGAGAGAAAAGATTCATAAAACAAATCCTGGTCTTACAATTGAAAGCTCAATGAGGCCAGCGCAGACTGCGGTGAGGGCTTTACAATAAGGCCGACTGTGCCGTCTTCAGCAGGCTCTGTTGTAATTGCGTTGACCCGGTCCATGCCACGGTAGCCTGGTTTTCTTATCAAGCCTGCCTAGATAAGTCTTCATCCCCAGACTTCATTAAATATCTCATCTATATTAAATAGCCCAGGGTCCCCTGGCTAATGCTTCTGCCAGTGTCATCCTAGAGGCTCCAGACCATCGCCTTCAGAACACTGATATGACCTACAGCTTCATCGTAGATGTTCACATGATGTTTGTTTCTACAAAGCAGTGTTTTCGTCACAGTCTTTGTCTTGGTCTGCCCATTCTTTTACCTGCTCGTTCTACAGTCGTTTGGCGTATTTTCTTTCACAGGGCAGCTGCTTGTTAAAGGCTTCTGGTTTAGATTACTATGTACTGCTATAGCCTATAGATTACAGTATAGAGGAGCAGATTGAGAGGGGAAAAAAAAGCAGTGCTATGCTCATAGCATTTAAGTTCAGTCCTTTTTTTAGGTGAGAAGCACCTCATTTAGCTGGCATGTAATTCACTCACTCACTCACATTTAGCAGGCTAAACATTCTCCTCATAGGGGAGCTGTTGGCACATTAGTTAAATTTCCACTGTGCTTTGCATCAGTGACACTCTTTGTCTTGTTCCAATCAATATCTTGTGATATTGTGTTCTCGTCTCATTTCTTTTTAAGCTTGCCCTCCACCCTGCCAGACTCGTACATGTTTAGCATAAGTGCTCATTTGCCAAAGGAATTGTGGGATGTGTTACATTTAAAATGGAACCCCCTCAAACTCTCACGTGGAGTCTACATGGATTGTCTCTAGCAGTTTGCCCTAAGTTCATATTAACTAGCATTTACTTTAAAAGAGATTGCGGATGAATGGAGTCATTTGCTGGGGGCATATACAGACAGTGATTAAATGATTATAGATGGCTAATTGATAATAATGTATATTTCTTTAGTGGATGACCCTTTAAAACATAAGCCTGAAAGTGGCTGGCCGGGCATGTCTTTAAACTTTTAATTGTAACTTGGTGATATATTACACTGTTATGAAGTTATCTGTATCAGAAAAACAAGTAATACGTAAAACAAAAGTTCAAAACCAGATTTATTTTTCACATTATTACCAAAAAAGACAATGAAAACTTATTTAAGTTACAAGCATCTGTTGTCTTTTAGGTACTCACCTGTGATCATTTATCTCAGCGCTGTTAGTCAGTGTTTACACACTTGCAGGTGATGTGTTCTGCTATTTAACTGTACATGCTCAACACACTTGTCAAGTGTCTTTGACTTTGTCATTACTACCCTTGAAAAGCGTTCGTAGTATTTCAGCATGAAAAATCTTTGTTTTCTTTTTTCTTAAATCAAAGACGAAATTGAAATTTTCAAAAGTCGCGCTGGAATTTACTAGTTGCATTTAAACTTACAACCACTAAGTCAGCAGTCACATGTCAAAACAAAGGCATGGGAATGTGGGAGGGTCTCTGAAGCTGAATTCCTGCTGTGATTGGATCTGCTGGATGGTTATTTAAGTCTGCCAAGCTATTGAATGCCACGTGTCATATTGTCAGAAAGCTTAACTTCTCTACTTTAACAGGGAATTTGAAGTTTGTATCTCTAACAATTGTAAAGTTATTTATTTTCAGACATACCATGCATGTCTTGAACGTGTCGGCAGCATTCTGTCTTGAAGGGTTAAACAATGTTACATTTATAAATAGTTATGTAATCAGTTCATACTTGTGAATGATGGGAATACATCTTTGCCAAAAGAGTCACAAAAGATTGAACATGCTTCTCAGGATTCCACACAGCTTGAAGTTCACAGTTTTGTAGTCACTCCCTCGAGTGAAGTTGAGGATTCGAGGTTCTGATAGAAACTTCTCTCAGCCCTTTTAAGAATATGAATGCCCTTCAACACTGTGGCAGGAATTCCCCTCTGGGAAAGTGTGGAGAAGAAATCCAGGAGCGCTTTTGTTTCCTGGAACTCAAACGCAGAGAGTGATCCTCCGTTAACTTTTCTATGCTGATCTGCTTCCACAGGATGTTTTTCATCATCTTTAAGCAGTGATGTGCAGCTCTAGTGAAGATGACAGCCAATCAGAGTGGGCCCTTTTTCTCACCATGAGGCTTCACACACATCACTACTGGGATTTCACAGGTGTTTCCATAGAGGGTATTAAATATCATTAGCAGGTGCTTCTCTGCATTCCTCTTTCCACTGGCCTCACATGAGGGATTCTACTGCGTTGAGTGAAGCTGGCAGTGTTCTTTCCTTCTCCGTTTCACACTAGAGTGGCATCTACTCAGACCCAGTTGACTCCCGCCCACTGCCTCTTCCCACCGCTCTCGGCCAGTTATTGAAGTTGCCAGTTTATGGAGCCTGTTCAGTTTACATCACCACCCAATGTCTGTCCAGTGTCCCTTCATTCATAACCAGTATGTTACATGCTTAAGGGAAAATGACACATGGAAGCTGTATTTCATAATGGAGGGAGCAAACTGCTAAGAGCAATTCATATTGTTCTCTGTGGACATCTTGTCTTATTCCGCATTTGCAAATACTTTTCTCACAAGATACTTGAAATTTGACATTTAGATTTCCCATTTAGATTTCATTGAGGTTCTGAGATTTCAAAATACCTACAGTATAATTATACAGTGTGATGATCATCTTCACTTTCTGCTGCCATAAGAAATCCAGCGCACTTGGATTTGTCACGGCAGAGTTCAGACTCCTTCTGACATTCAGTGCCCCATTGAAGGCTATTGTCACTGTAATGTTCAGAATGGCCTTTGGAGAGCCACTCTGTCTTCCCATTAGTGTAAAGTGATGGACCCTTTTCCTTGTCACGTTCGTAAGGCCTGTGCTGAAGACTGACAAAAGTGAAAGTGTCCAGTTTGTTTTGGGATCATTAATGCAATACATTGACCCCTTAGCAAATGTCACAGTCTCTTTAGCAAGGCCTGACATCAGAGGAACTGCCTGAAAGGCTATTGGAAATCTATGTTGTGTTCTTTGACTGGAACATAATGTTACAGCAAAAAATCCTGGTTCTGTTTAATGCAGTCCTGGGCTCTCACTGATGTTGAAAGCTAACTCGATGGTTGTTATTTGTATATGTATTTGTGAGCTACCTCTTAGAAGTCAAGAATTATTATTGTCATTTTACTGTGTTATTTAAATGTAATTGCATTGTTACATATGGAATTATATCAACATGCTGTATCTACAGGACTTCCAACATTTTTCTACACTTTTTCTACACTTTTCTATGTATAGTTAATTGAAAGTTGAAAATCTGCACATTTGGCAGAATTTCACTGCTTGTTTTATTAAGTTATGAATGAGAAATAATTAAAACAAAATTACAGTGTACTTTTATTACTGATAACCGACAATGAAGTATATTTTGGACAGTTCAGATTTCAGTGTTGGTCGTTTTATTCTGGACTTTCCTTTGTTCCTAAAAGAAGCTACTGTAAACAAAAACCTCAATATGTGTATGTGTGTGGTTTTGTTATTTATTTTGCTGACATGGTGTTTCTTCTCACAGGAGGACGCTCCAGAAAACCCCTCAGCATCCGATGTGCCGCTGGGCCGACCTCACGAGGAGCTGGAGCGGCGCATCTCACATTCACTCTACCCCGGAGCCATAGAGGGTCTGGATGACACCCTGAGCCCCCGACCCACCATCACTGGAAGAATGATGGGTAAGGAATTACACACATGGATATACACCAAAACTCTGGAGGCACATAGCTTTTTATGATATTTTTATATTATAGTAGTATTAGATTGTTTAGATTTCACTGTTTCTTCTGTGCAAAAGCAAAACTGAAAACTCTGACACTTTCTACCTTGTTTTGATGTCAGCACTCAACAGCACTGATGTTCAAACTATCTTTGAGGTCAGAAGAGTTGCAATATGTGCTTTAATAATAGTTTACAAAAGAAAACTGTCAGTCATTATTTAGACAAAACCTGCTCTCCGTACATAGGAAGACACTTGAACGCAAAGCTGAATGTTGAAGCTAAATATACCTAAACTAGTAGTGAATAGTCATTTTTTGTTAACAGAACCTTTGCAGGTATTTGTTTCTCACTTAATAGAAAAGTAACAGTGAAAATCAAGGTACTTGATTCTCATATTACAGACATACATGCATACATGCATATGCACAAGCTAACTTCAGTATCTATAGTGTTTTCCTGTACTTTCACACACATTTTTATTTGCACAGTTATGAGCTTTCACTACATAAACTCCAACATACTATCTATAGCATGTATGCACACTCATGGCTATGTTGCATGGATGTATAGACACACATGGCACCGAAGCAAACCATCCCTCCATGGCTGTTTGGTTCTGTAATTAAGGCTTAGTGTCATTCTCACTCTCAGACACTATTCGGTCTGATCCTGCATGATTTCTCACAGGTATTTCCCCACAAACTCAACAGCATTTTTTTCTTCCCATTGCACAATTGGAATTGGCAGTTCAATTCTTTCACTGTCGTAGCTGCCAATTCTCAGTGGACCTTTCCGCCACACCACTGCAACTTTGAACAGCATGCTTGAGGAGTACGTTCTGCTTCCCTCTCCTCCTCGCTCTGTAGTTGCTTCTCTCCATCCTCCTCAGGCTGGTCCTGTTTATGCAGATGTGTCTCTCTCCCACTCTCACCTCTCTCTCTCCCTCTCCCGCTCTCATGCACACACTGTCTGTTCACTCTGCCCTACTTGCCACACTTGCCTCCCCCAGCAGACTCTGACACAGTCTTTCAGAAAAGCCTGCATGATCATGAATATCTCCAGCGCCAGCATGAAAGAGTTTCTAAAACTGTAGCACTTCAAGGGCTTGAGCTTTCAGCCCCAGCAGCACAAACAGGACAGATGAGCAACGCGGAGAAGTCACAGAAAAGTTTGGCATGGGGAATATGGGGGACGTCACTATCGGCAGGCTTGACAAATTGTCATATTTTCTGTCTTCTGGTTTTCTGTTTCTGTTTTTATATATATTTTTTTCTTGTTAAAAATATATTGAAGTGCTGCTCTTCCGTTCGCCATCTTTTCACTTGTCAGTTTATTTTTGTCAGGTAAACACATTTCAAAAGTTGGCACGCCGGTATGAACGATAAGACGTCATTACATGGGCCATTTCTGTCACTCTAAATGACACCATAGATGCCGCATGACCTCCCATTTAACAGAACGGCAAGCCACACAGTGATGTATGGCCTGTGTCTGGAGCGCCAGGAAGGTGCTTGTGAAAAAAAGCACCAAGGTGAGGACCTGACTGACAGCACGTACTGAATCTTGTCAGAAAGAGAGTCTTCAGCAGACACAACTCATTTCACCGAATCCGCCAAATATATCACCTGTCACTCAAAAGTAAGGACATGCAAGGATCTGAGTTTGCAAGGTTAGCCTGATAGTGTCCTTCTGTGTAGCCGCAGTGATAGATGACAGGGAAGAACCCTCTAGTCCGGTCATTAGACTGACCTTTGTGCTACATCTGCTACCATTCAAAAGTTTGGAATCACTGTTTTCATTAATATGTAGCTCAATTTTATTGAAGCTACAAAATATAAATGTATAAAATGAAATCTCTTGTTTGAAGAGTGGTGGTCAGATTTTTATCTTACAATAAATAGATAATTACAGTTAACTATTTAAAATTGAATAACATTTTAGTTTCCCCTAGAAAAGTTAGACTATAATCTATTGAATAAAACATCTTTATACCTTCTGATGTGTATTTCAGTCTATTACTAAATAAAAGAAGTTATTAATATGACAAGTGATTTCAAACTTTTGAACAGTTGTGTTACAAACACTGTAAGAATGCAACAAAATAATAAAAAATAAAGTCACATTCTTGTTAATGCTGAACAAATTGAATGCTGTCACCCAGTAAGAGGTAAAAAATAGCCTAACAGAACAGGGCACCGTGAGAATTTGGCTAACTTTATATGTCAGAGTAATTCACTTCCGTCACTCAAAGCAATTTCCTAAGTTTGGATTAAAGGAGCGCTGCCTTTCAGAGCTGTTGATTTACGGAGTGAAATGCCTCCAAGCCTAAAATGGAAAAAAAAGGTTATCCCCATTAAAATGTTAAAAAATCTCACATTGTGCTGCACTGCTGCAAGTTGGAACAGGTAGAAGTGTTAAGAGTACAGAAGTGATTGATGGATGGCAGATGCCCACTTAGGCTCAGCTTTTTTTCACAATTTTCTGATTTATAGTGAAATACACCGGGAGAAGAAAATGGAGCAGTGGTGTTAGCTAGAGTTAAGCAAGGTATTAGAATGTAATGGATGGTATGAAATTGCTTTGTATATGAATGCTCTGTAGGCCAGTATGGCAGAGCTGCTGAATGGCATTTTATATGACATAGGAAAGCATTTCTAGTAAACATGAATATCAGCTGGTGGGATTTGGTATGATACTGAGATTCCCTGGGGGTTCACTGATTTAGTCCGTGCAGAAAATGCAGTGGGTTGTGTCGATGCTCACTTAACAGGAGTACTGTGAGACATAGTATTTCAAAACTTGGAAACTTGGACCTTTTTCTTTCATAACTTTGCTAGTTCATGTACCTGGTCATGATTTAGTATATAATTTAAAACACAAAATTATTATTTTTGTCTGAACTTTAATCAAAATGATTGTTGATTATGTTTCCATGTACCAGCAGGTGGGAAAAAAATATTAACCAATAATATAATGGTTATATTATTGATTTATACACCACTCTAACATATGATTGAGCAAAATACAAGACCCTCCTTAATAATGTGATTTGCTAGCAAATATCACATGATACAAAAGCTAAATGTATTATGATTCTCAATTCATGCTGACATTAAGGGACACAAATTTTCACAAATGATCTAATGAACACAATCTTTCGCCCAGCCCAAATGAAGTTGATCAGTCAAGATTTACTTCTTAGTTTTGAGCTAGAGCTATGAAGCTAATATAGCTAACAAGCAATGGAAGCTTATAGGCTACTGATTAGCATCAAGTAGTTTGCAAGCCTGAATCATCAATCTGAAACAGACTTATGTACATTAGTATGTCAAATAGCAGCACTCTTTAAGCCTGAATTTCATCCATTTTTATAGACAACAGTATATCATCCTGCGTCAGAAACTACATAGGCAAGTCTATTTGAGATCACTTAACAACTCAATGTGCGTTAAGGGTAGTCTGTGATGATTGTACCTGTATACTAAATCATGACCAGGCCCACATGTGTACATGTGACTCCTTTTCTCGATGCTAATAGGCATTCCATAAGTTTCAAGTACTTGTTAGCTTTATTAGCCTCATAGCTCTAGTGCAAAACTAAGAAGCAGTCTTCAGATGCCAAACATATATTGCCTGATCAACTACATTTAGGATGAGGGGCAAACGCATATTTGTAGTATATTTGATTTTTTACCAGTGATTGTAAGAAAATGCTTGTTATCGAATGACATCAATGCTATTTAGAGTACTACTGGTTGCTGAAGCAGCTCAATATTGATCTACGTTTTCCATCCGAAGGACATGTTCCGTTCTGTTTACAGAAAAAAGGGGGAAAAATGAGGAAAACGTGGCAGTCAGTGAGGTAAAGCAGTCAGAGTGATGGAGGGATGGGCTAGTTAATCTAGCTACACGCTACCATCTCATCGATTGCCATGCAGCGTCTCGCTCAGATTGATAGGCCGAGGTGTTCGACGACTGTCAGAGGGATGGGCCGCTGTCTGTGCAAGTGTGTATGTATGAGGCCCACGTGTGTACATGTGCACACACACGCAGAGGAGTGATTTTTCTAACTGTCTGCCACCACTACATCAACCTGTGACATTGTCAGCTGCTGCTTCCACCTGCTACAGCCCTGACGACGAGCAAATCTAGTCACACTGGGTTAAAAGAAACTCTTCTTTCACAAACTCTCTTCTTCCTCTTTTTCTCTCTCTCCTTGTTTTTTTTTCCATCTCTTTTTCTTTTTTTGCAAAAATAACCAACATGTCACATAAAAAAATGTACATAATGTAATAGAGTGATAGAACTATTATATGCAGAAATACAAAAAGAATGAATAAAAACAAGGCACTTTACCAGGTCGTTAATCAGTAACAATGAAAGAAAGAGTAGTTTAGATATCTTTCTTGGGTGTTTTTCCACCTCAGTGTCTTTCTAATCTGTTGCATTAGTTTGTACTTTTTCTGTACCTTTTCTCTCACAGGTCATTAACTCTCTCTCTGTCTCCCTTTTCTGTTTTTTGTCTCTCTCTCTCTCTCTCTCTCTCTCTCTCTCTCTCTCTCGCTCTCTCTCTCTCTCTCTCCCTCTTCCCTCTTCCTCCCTCCCTCTCTCCTGTTATGAATGGTGAGTTGTTTAAGGGAAATTGATTTTTGTTTTTATTATTTTTGCATAATTAAGTCATTCAGAGTGGTTTGAAATGCTCCATTCTGGAGAGTTGTCTAGTCAGAATTGTACACAGTGGAGATGATGGGAAGAAGACGTCAGAGGCATTTAACGCCTCTGAAAGCTACCCCACAGAAGGTCATTGCACAAAATGGTAATGAATATACTGTCTGATGTCTGTCAACGGAGAGGTATATGCAGAACATTGTAAGGCAGAATAGTCTTCTTATTTGTATTTATTTTTGTTTGTTTGCTAGTTTTTTTCAGTTTTGCCACTGTTTTACCATTATCACCA